GCTAATTTTTGTATTTTTAGTAGAGACGGGGTTTTACCATGTTGGCCAAGCTGGTCTCGAACTCCTGACCTTAGGTGATCCATGTGCCTTGGCCTCCTGAAGCACTGGGATTACAGGTGTGAGCTACCACACCTGGCCTGGGATGACCGTAGAAACTTGTTGTGAATCAGTTGTGCCACACTGATTTAGGGTCATGTGCCACCTTGGAGAATGTAAAAAACTGCATACTCTCCATCTGACAAGAGCACATGCAATAGCCTTTTGGTTTAAACCATTCTGGGAGATTCATAGGCTGTCCCACGAAACCCAAACTCCGGGCCCATGTCAGGTGGCCAGCGAAGTGGCTGCAGTCCCCTCCACGTCTGTCACCCTTCACTCCACAGGCCTTGCACACCGTCTCCTCCCAGGATCCTGTGACGTCCCCAGTGAGGGAGAGGAAGGGACTACCAGTCCCTTTTGATAGACAGGAGGCTCCCATTCAGAGAGGTTGGGCGCCAGGCCTGGAGCCACGGCCCAGCCCAGGGGAGGGCAGGGCCTCGACTAGCCCTCGTTTGGGTTCCTTACTCTTCCTGACAAGGGCAATTTTGAAATCAGCAAATTCAGTGATGGGGACAGAGTGGGGAGCTTCTGAATGTGGCTGCAGGTTTGAGTATAGAGGCGTGAACAGGTTCTAGAGAATTCCTAGGGTGGCCTTTGAATGTTGTCTTTTTAGAACTAAATTCTTGTGAAACCCCATTTCTACTAAAAACACAAAAATTAGCTGGGTGTGGTGGCGTGTGCCTGTAGTCCCAGCTACTTGGAGGAGAATCCCTTGAACCCAGGAGGTGGAGGTTGCAGTGAGCCAAGATCGTGCCACTCCACTCCAGCCTGGTGACAGAGTGAGACTCTGTCTCAAAAAAAAAAAAAAAATAGAACTAAATCCTTGCTAGGTGTCCCCGCTGTCACTCTTACCTTCTCCTTCATTGCCCTCATCACAATCTGAAGGCCTGCCTGTGGTCCTTAGCTGTTTCCCGTGCTTAGAAGGTAATGTTGGCATCCCTGGACACTGGTGCTCATCAGCCCCGTGATAAACAGCTGTGAAATGCGTCTGGCTAAGTGTGAGACGGTGCGGCTGCCACAGCTCTTCCTGTCTGGGCCTGAGATCCGTTTGGAACTTGTGTCACTGTCACCCTCTTGCTCCCTAAGCCCTTCTCGCCTCTGTTTCAGTTCTTTGCGAGTTTGGTGATGATCGCCTATGGAGTGAGCGCCTTCTTCAGCTACCAGGCCTGGCGAGGAGTAGGCAGCAATGCAGCTACCAGTCAGATGGCTGGTGGCTATGCCTAAACAGCCTGTGCCATGGCCCCCTCGGGGGCTGAAGCCGCTGCTGGGTCACAGAGCAGGGTCACCCTGCAAGCCTGAAGCTGGGGAGCCCTGCACAGAGGGTCAGCCCCGCAGGGACTACACTTGCTCCTCTCTGCCCATCAGACACAAGCTCTCACAGCGCTAAGGAAGCAGGCCCAGGCTGGCAGGCATCTGGGCTTGTGGGAGGCCAACCACGGAGACCTCCTCTCCATCCCCCTTATTCAGTGGAAGGTGACGGGGGAATCTGAGGCTGTGTCTCTGCCTTGTCTTTAGAGGACTTCAGCGTCCCAGGCTGGGGCCCACCCTTCTCACCAGCACTAAATGCACTAACAAGGACTCTAGACCTGTAGCCGCAGACCTGCTGTAGCGTAAGCCTAACAGGCAGCATGTAGCACCTTAGTCTTTGTTCCGGGAGAGCTAAGCAAGCTCGTGACACCATTCTCCTTCCTTTAAACACAGTTCCGACCCACCTCTCCCTGGAGCCAGCCTGTACAAAGCGGGTTATGATTGTTGACAGCATGGTCTTCCCTCCCTGCATTTCAGACACACCAGTTACTGAAAGCAAATCAGTTTTCAGTGACTTCTCAACACTGAGAAGCCTGGCCAGGTTTCCTTCCCTTTCTTAAGCCTCTCTCTTTAATACTCCGTTTGGGTGAAGCTAACCCCAGTGCCAACTGCCTCCCCGACCCTGCTGACTAGGCACAGGGGACGCGAAGGAGGGAGGGAAGCAAGGCCTTGCCTGGCGAGTTGTCATGTGGTTGGTGGTGACTTTGTTTTTTTGTTTCATTTTTATAAAAATAAAGATGAGAGAAATTATTTGGACAAGATGTTGGGGAATCATTTTGCAGGTGCTTATAACCTCCAGGGGGCCTGAGCTTGACTGTGTAAGATGCCTGCCGTAGGGCAGTTCACGATCTGGAGGCCTTCAGCACCACCTGCCAACTCTTTGCCCGGAGGGAGGCTGCCTACACTTCCTGCTTGCTGTATCTGGAGCAGTCCTGGTTTATGCTGTTTGTGCTGGCACAAATAGAATTGCATGGGCTTTTATTCTCACAAGTGTCTCAGCTTGGCAATAACTTAGCCACCCTTGCCTTGGGCAGGTTAGGTGATCTTACTGAATGAAAGATTTCAACAATATCAGCTACCTCGCAAGTCTGCGAAGCTCAGAGGTCATATATCAAGGCCAGCCATGCTGCATGCTCAGAGCTGGTAGAGACAGCAGAGGAAAGCAGCTGAGTACTCCCGAGCTTATTTTTCCAACACCACAGAGCAGTGTTCTCCCAACAATAAGGTAAAAGCGTTTCTAGACACCCTCTGGTCCCTTTTTGTTATTTTTTTTGGAGATGGAGTCTCGCTGTGGTGCCCAGGCTGGAGTGCAGTGGTGCAATCTTGGCTCACTGTAACCTCCGCCTCCTGGGTTCAAGCAATTCTCCTGCCTCAGTCTTCCGAGTAGCTGGGATTATAGGCGCCCGCCACCATGCCCGGCTAATTTTCGTATTTTTAGTAGAGATGGGGTTTCTCCATGTTGGCCAGGCTGGTCTGTAACTCCTGACCTCAGGTGATCCACCTACCTTGGCCTGTCAAAGTGCTGGGATTATAGGTATGAGTCACTGCACCTAGCCTCTGGTTCCTTTTTAAAAGTGGGAATTAAAATGTAACTAAGTTCAAACAGTTGCAGATGAGCTACTCTGTTATTAAGGGATGAGGGATTAAGTCCAGTACCTATGTCCTAGTCAGCCTGGGACAAGCCCAGTTTGAGCTGTTGTCCTAGTATAATTTGTTTTTTAAGGGACAGGGTCTTGCTCTATTGTCCAGGCTGGAGTGCAGTGCCACAACCATAGCTCACTGCAGCTTTAACTGCCCAGGCTCAAGCAATCCTCCCGCCTCAGCCTCCTGAGTAGCTTGGACTACAGGTGCATGCCACCACGGCCAGCTAATTTTTAAGTTTTTTGTAGACACTGGGTCTTGATATATTGCCCAGGCTTGTCTTAAATTCCCAGCTTCAAGTGATCCTCCCACCTCAGCCTCCGAAAGTGCTGAGATTATAGGCGTGAGTCACTGCACCTGGCCTTGGTATAAATATTAGTAGCAGCACTGTTTAAAGTATCTCAGAGTCTGAATAATAAATTAGTAATTTCTGGAATAAGTTGTAAGAGTTTGGTTTTAAGGCCGGGCGTGGTGGCTCATGCCTGTAATTCAAGCACTTTGGAGGCCAAGGCGGGCGGATCACCTGAGGTTGGGAGTTCAAGACCAGCCTGACCAACATGGTGAAACCTCGTCTTTAAAAAAAGAGTTTGGTTTTAAGGAAGGGCAATGCATTTAAATGCAAAACAAATTCCTAGGCAAGTTAGAGAGCTCACCCGTTATGTTTCTGGCATGAATCAATTAGAGAGCTCACCTGTTATGTTTCTGGCATGAATCAAACAGCCTGTTTCAGGGGACACATTAAAGGCGCTCTGTCAATCCTAAGTCTCAGCAGTTTGCGTGACTTGTGTTCCACTGGGAGGAGTCCTAAGCAAGAGGACTAGGACTTCCTCACCCCAGGCCAGGTGGGACCCCCATCAAAGGTGGCACCTGACATCATAGTCTAAGTGTCTGTTGGTGGAGAGAGGCTGCTAGTTTATTTTAAAAGAAACCAGAAAGCCTACTTATAATATTAAGCAACAACAGACTTGCCTTTTTTCTGAGCAGAAACTGAAAAACTGGCCGGGCACAGTGGCTCACACCTGTCATCCCAGCACTCTGGGAGGTAGGTGGATCACCTGAGGTCAGGAGTTTGAGACCAACCTGACCAACATGGTGAAATCTGAAATCCTGTCTCTACTAAAAATTAGCTGGGCGTGGTGGTGGGTGCCTGTAATGTAATCCCAGCTATTCGGGAGGCAGCCCAATCTCTGAACCCAGGAAGTGGAGGTTGCAATGAGCCAAGATCATGCCACTGCACTCTAGCCTGGGCAATAAGAGCAAAACTCCACCCCCCCACACCTCCCAAAAAAGTGTGAAAAACCAATTTGCCTTTATTGTTTTTTCATCATTTAATCTCTGGGACTTGTCCACTGGCCTTTTCTCAAGCAGGCAGACTGGTCCACAGGTCTCAGCAAGGGCCCCCAACACGCCTGGGCTGTGGTAGACAGTCCCATTTATAGACAGAGCAAGGAAAGCAAGCCCAGGGGAGGTGGCATTTTAAAAAGCTGGCTCTGAGTGGTTTTAAAGGGCCAAAGTGGGCTGGTGCAAGTACTGTGGTGTTTATAACTAATAGAGCGGAACCAGTGGCAGGTTTCCTTGTTCCTTCTCTACTCCCATTGCTTCACTTGACTAGCCTTAAAACAAAAACAAAAAACAAAACCCACAAAGCAATAATAACCTGATGGCGGTGGCTGCGTTATAGAAAGAAAGAATAGACTCATCGAGAATGGTGGTTCTTGCAAAACACCTCAAATTTTACTCATGGTACAAAAGTATTTAATAAGTGACAGATCAGTACAGAAAAACACAGAGCTTGTAGCTTTTCCTTTAAAACCAGAATGGCCAAATGAAAAGTCAGTACAGATTCTTATTTTTACTATTAAAAAAAGTCAAAGGGACACGCTGGGAATTGGACTACTATGTTTTTTTCTTTCTAGAGATGACATACATGTTTTCTCATAAGTAATCCAACACACACTGCACTACACCAAAGCAGACAGCCAGTAAAGCTGTGTTCTACCTGCTACTCATGCTGGGCTGGACAGTGGAACACCATCTTGGTAGGAGAGATTTTGACAGGAAAAAACTGCAGTCCCTACCTAAGCCAGAGAACCTAACAAACTGGTTTATACAGAAGGATTTTCAGCAGACACGCAAGCACACTAACATGCTATAAGAATCTGTTTTAGTCTATTTCTAGCACACAGCATACATTCATTGGTGTCCAGTAACATAGGAACGAACGCCAATGTAGAAAGCATTTTTGCCTTCACAGCACTAACACCTAAAAAGCTCACAGCATATAATACTTTGATCTTTTACGTGGATAATCATGGAAGTTCCAAGATCACATCCACTAGGTTAGCCTGAGTATTCATCTATAAAAATATTATTTTTTTTTTCAAAAATAATGCTTAAAAGAGACTTCTAGAAACAGTGGGGACTAAATCAGAACCAGAAGACAGTGACACTAGGACTGGAAATGTTAGGACTAAGGGTGGCTTTTCAAGCGGAGCTTTTATGCAGAGGACGTCTCTTTCTGTTGGTTCCTACAGCTGAGACAAGCTGTGATCACAGGAGATTCTGAAATCTCAAGATGAGCTAGAGTAACACCCTAGATAAACATCAGGAACCCCACTGAGGCTGAAGTACTGAAACCATGACCCATGTGAAAAAGGGGTGCAAGTGCACAAAAAGATTCATGCCGAGCCTGCTGGGGCAGGGGTGGTGACGGCGGGTGAGTCCACACTCACACACCAGCATGTGTGCTGGGGGAAGGCCCCCCAGGTGGAGTGCCTGACATGGGCTCACTCCAGAAGCGTCTTTTGACTCAGAAGCTCCTGAGAGAGGTGTCTACTTGAGGAGGAGAGGAATACTATGGTAAATGAATACAAGGTGTTTCAGGAGAAACAGGTCCAGGAGGGGTTAGGTCATTTTGGTTTTGACCTATCAATACTTAACATACACGAAGAGTTACATAACAGAGCCAGTCTTTTTAAGATGTATTCTGTCATCATGAGCTGAGCCTATTGGGCCGGTGACATCCAGAACGATCCCATTCATTGGCTGGAGGTAGGACCTAGTGCCGCAGATTGTTGGGGGAAGCTGGCACAGATGATGATTTGCACAACGATGTCACCACTAAGCCACTGCTTAAATCCAGTCCTCGGCCTTCTTTTTCCTATATGAGAAAACAACCAAAGGCAAGGACTAGAAAGAACCCTGGCTTAGAATCTTGCCTCTGACGTGGGGAAGGTAGAGCTCAAGGTGGGAAGAGTACATAGGGAGAACAGAGGTTATTGGTTATTCTGCATTTCTCTTCAGTACTAGCCTGCCCTAGTCTTATTATTTTTAAGAGGTAGGGTTTTACTCTGTCACCAAGGCTGGAGTACAGTGGCTTGATCATAGCTAACTGCTGCCTGGAATTCCTGGGCTCAAGTGATCATCCTGCCTCAGCTTCCTGAGTAGCTATTACTACAAATGTGCACCACCAAACCTGGCTTTTTATTTTATTTATTTTTGAGACGAAGTTTCACTCTTTCACCCAGGCTGAAGGCAGTGGCGCGATCTCTGCTCATGGCAACTTGTGCCTTCCACTTTCAAGCAATTCTCTTGCCTCGGCTTCCCAAGTAGCTGGGAGTCAGGTGCCCGCCACCACACCCAGCTAATTTTTGTATTTTTCCATAGAGATGGGGTTTCACCATGTTGGCCAGGCTGGTCTCGAACTCCTAACCTCATGACTCGCCCGCCTCGGACTCCCAAAGTGCTGGGATTACAGGGATAAGCCACTGTGCCCAGCCTATTTTTATTTTTGTAGAGACAGGGTCTTGCTATGTTACTCAGGCTAGTCTTGAACTCCTGAGCTCAAGCGATTCTCCTGTCTTGGCCTCCCAAAGCACTGGAACTGTAAGTATGAGCCACTGTGTCCAGCCTGGTCCTGGTCATTCTTAAAATGAACTCTTAAAAAAAGTACCTCCTTTGCAGTGAGCCGAGA